AGGTGGCGTTTGGTTTGCAGAATGTTTTTGGATGGAATGAAATCTGTTAAAGGAATTTGACTTTGAAGGAATTGGAATGGAATGTTGTCAGGGTTGACCACCTGTTTGGTTGGCAGACATTGGAATGGAATCTGTTAAGGAATTGGAATCTTTCTGTTTGGTTCACAGAATGTAGCTTTAGAATTGGAATAAAATTTTGGTAAATGACCAAAATGCCCTTTTTTGAAAATTTTAATTTTTTTAAAACTAAAAATACTATTAATAAAATAATTATTTAATATGTAAAATAATATAAAATACACAACCCAAATATAATCATAAGCCAAACGACGTTACTAAATCGACGGTGGTCGACGGTGGTTCAGATTGGTGGTGGTCCACAGTGGTTCAGATGGTGGTGGTCCGCAGTGGTTCAGATCGATGGTGCTTTAGATCGGTAGTAGTTGGTGGTGGTTTAGATCAATGGTGGTCCGTGGTGGTTCAGATGACGATGGTCGACAGTGGTTCAGATCGATGATGGTCCATGGTGGTTCAGATGGCGGTTATCGTCAGAGGTTCAGATTGATGGTGAATCAGATCAGTGGTAGTCGGTGGTGGTTGACGGTATTTCAGATTGGTGGCAGTCGGTGGTGGTGGTCGACAGTGGTTCAGATTGGTGGTAGTCGGAGGTGGTCGACGATGGTTCAGATCGGTGGTAGTCGGTCGGGGGTGGTGGTCAGCGTGGTTTAGATCGGTGGTGGTCCATGATGGTTCAGATGGCGATTATYGGCGATGGTTCAGATTGACGGTGAATCAGATMAGTGGTGACTCATATCGGCGGTGGTGGTCGGCGGTGGTTCAAATCAATGGTGGTCGGCAATGGTTCAGATCAATGGGGGTCGGCGGTGGTTCAAATCGGCGGTAGTCGGCGATGGTGGTGGTTAACGGTGGTTCAGATCGGTGGTAGTCGGCGGTGGTTCAGATCGGTGGTGGTGGTGGTGGTGGTGGTCGGCGGTGGTTCAGACCAGTGGTAGTCGGCGGTGGTGGTTTAGATCGGTAGTGGTCGATGGTGGTTCAGACCGGTGGTAGTCGGCGGTGGTGGTCGTCAGTGGTAGTCAGCGGTGGTTCAGATCAGTGGTAGTCGACGGTAGTTCAGATCGGTGGTGGTGGTCGGCGGTAGTTCAGATCGGTGGTGGTGGTCGGCGGTAGTTCAGATCGGTGGTGGTGGTCGGCGGTAGTTCAGATCGGTGGTGGTGGTCGGCGGTAGTTCAGATCGGTGGTGGTGGTCGGCGGTAGTTCAGATCGGTGGTGGTGGTCGGCGGTAGTTCAGATCGGTGGTGGTGGTCGGCGGTAGTTCAGATCGGTGGTGGTGGTCGGCGGTAGTTCAGATCGGTGGTGGTGGTCGGCGGTAGTTCAGATCGGTGGTGGTGGTGGTGGTCGGCGGTGGTTCAAATCAATAATGGTCGAGAGGTGGTCGACGATGGTCACATTGAGTTTTACGAGATTATAGTATATTAGGTTAAGAGCATATTTGGTATAATGAATATAGAGATTCCATTCCATCAAAATACCATGTAGTTGCTAAGGAATGTTAAAATCCTTTATCCATGGAATTCATAGGAATCTGAAGATTCCTTTCGCTGAAAAGAATGAACCAAACGAAGGAAATGAATCTGGTCAAAGGAATTCAACATTCCAATTCCTTCAGATTCCTCCGGAATATGCGAACCAAACGCCACCTAAGAGTTACCTGGAAAAACGTAAGAAGAGATTTAGACATTTGATCATTTTTAATCTTACCCTCATCTCATAAATTGCATTGGATACGAGAATTAATCTGATAAATCTCGTTACTGTTGATCATCAATTAGAATTGATTCAAAAATGAAATAATTATTATCATTTTTATGATAATAATATTTAAATATTTAAACATCACCCGGGAAATGAAATCAAAGACTGTAAACTGCAACTTTCATTTCGTTGCTAAATCGTGCACTCATCGCCACGTCCTTCCTTGCTTCCTTTATTCGTAACTTGGAAGCATATCTCTCTCACGTCATTCTCTTTGTATATTATATCATCAATCCTTCCAAATTTTGCAGATTTAGTTTGATTGTCGATGTGTATATGGAATGCAAGATGAGAAACAGTGATGTTTGTTCATCGGAGGAGGTTGCCAGACGCGAAGATGTTTTCAGTTGTCCTCAATCGGATGTTTCCTCCGCCGATCATCTCGTCGTTATGGTCAATGGAATCCTTGGGAGGTCAGACATATCAATTGGTTTCTATCATCTAATTTACTCTTCACATGTTTTAATTTCTCAATTGTGAATTTCGAGAATTCATACCGAGTCGGAGTGTGTTTGACTTAGGTTTTTGTTTGCGACTTCCATGTTTTGCTTTGAGAAGGTTTGGGGTTTCATTAGCGGTTGGCTTATCAGTTATGATGAGAAGATTGGATATATTGGCATCATGAAAAAGCGATTTTATCGGTGGACTTGTTTATTTGCATTATTTCTCAGCGGCGCGCTTATTGAAATCCACGATATTATATCATTAACTCTTTCCCACTAGATTTGTCATCTCCATTAATCAATCCCAAGGAAGCCATGGACGTGGAACGCCTTAAGTCCCATAATTTTTGGCTCTTAGTTTATCTGAAATTAGAACAAGTCTAATTTGATTAATTTTATTTAAGCATAATGGATGCAGATCAATTCAAAAGTGCATCTGGCATGCTTTAAACATGATTAAATCCTAATTGTATAAAAACCGGAGCAAAAGCAACAAATTTGCCAGGAAAAAAGACAAGCAAGTGAGAATCTGTGGTTCCTTAGATTAGGTGATATTAATTCAACATAACTGAAATCAAGACGATCTTCATTCAAGATAACTAAAGATTGATAAAATTCGAACACCAAAAGATGAATGAAGAATGAAATGTTAGTAATGATGAAAAGAAACTTCTAAGCCGTTATGATTTCATGAATCTGAACTTGTCTTATGGAATAAAATGCTATGTAGATGATAACATACAAAGAGAGTATTTGAGTGATATAATGCCGAAAGGAAGTAGAGATTAGCCATGATGAAGGCCTTATATAGCTATGTTTCTTGATTTCTCTAATAATTATTTTATTGTTTTAGCAGTTCTGCCGATTGGAAGTTTGCTGCTGAGCAGTTTGTTAACACAATTCCAGATAAAGTACTGGTTCACCGTAAGGATTTCCTATTGGTATATCATTTTAACAGCACCTGAATGACATCAGTCATGCTCTCTTATTTTCACTTCTGTATGTTGCTGTCTTTATGCACAGACCCTGTCACTATTTCTCCTCTTGGGTGGCACTTTATGTCATCTTTTCTACACCCTTTACTTTTCCTTCACATTATTGCTGTATTGTTATGGTAAAAGCATGTTCATTTATTTGAACATTTGGTGAAAAATGAAAAGGAAACAGGAATAGTGAATAGGGTGCTAGGATCCATATTTTAAGTTCATCTGCAAAAAAATTGTATTAATGACTTTCTGATGTATTCACTGCAATATAACCTACAAAAAGAGATAGCATCATCCCACAAGTAATAACTACCAAGGAAGTAGCTTTTTTCCACAAGGTACATTTTATCTTCTATACATTCTTTCGTGGAATTGAGATACCTCCCTATCTGGTAGAGCACTGGATATAGCTTACCAGCAACAACTTGTTGGAATTATGAGATGGACAAGGCTGCAGTCGGTGTACATTATTTCATGTTGATTTTAGTGCATAGTTCAACAAAATGTTGTAATCTTTCATACTAATGGAACGCATACTTGGAGATTAATCAGTATTGAATTGATTGCTAAATGTTAATGTGAAACATGGTTCATGTTATCCAGGCATAGTGGTTAAACCTGGAATAGCTACGGATACCTTACAGCTAATACTGGTTCTATATAGATAATATCTTTTAGAGTGGATGTTTTAATCTGAGATAAGCAGAATGTGTGATAAACCACATGACCGTCGTGACTTGATTTTCTGCTATCCAATGTAGGCAGCAAAAGGAATGCAGCTATACAAACATTAGATGGCGTGGATGTAATGGGTGAGAGATTGTCATTGGAGGTTGGTTTCTTAATTATGTGTGTTCTCTTGTTTTGGTGATTACTGGGTTTGTATTCAAATTGTATCCATCATCCATACACTTGGGTTTGACATCAGGTCCTTGAAGTTATAAAGCAAAATCCAAATCTTCATAAGATCTCTTTTGTTGCACATTCTGTGGGAGGTTTGGTGGCAAGATATGCAATTGGGAGATTGTATAGACCTCCTAAAGAAATTTTGGAGGGTTTATCAGTTGAAGATTCTAAAGAATCGATGGCCACACTAGGTGGTCTGGTTCCAATGAACTTTATTACTGTTGCAACACCTCATCTTGGTTCAAGGGGCAACAAGCAGGTAATTTCTGTTCTCTCTCTCCTTCAAGAATCTCAAGAAGAATGTTGTGAATTCTCAAATCATGTTCCATGCCCACTTAGGTAAAGACACATTAGTTTCTAGGTAGTGGTATGTAGGAGAGGTTTATGTCCAAGGTTGTGGTTCATTGCATATCTTTCATACGATCTAATAAATTGATTTTGCAGGTGCCCTTTCTTTTTGGTGTATCTGTCTTAGAAAAGGCTGCTGTTCTTGTTATTCATTGGATATTTGGAAGAACTGGCCGGCATCTTTTCCTAACAGATGATGAAAAAGGAGAGCCTCCCCTGCTTAAACGCATGTTGGAAGATTTCGGTGATTGCCATTTCATGTCAGAATGAATAATCATAGAGTTCTTGGATTCTGATATCCTTTCTACAATATGGTTGTTGACATTGCCAAACTTTTCAGGTCAGCACTACGCTCATTTCATCGCCGGGTGGCATATTCAAATGTTGGCTGTGACCGTATCCTTTTCTGTTTTGTTGATTCTGTTGAAATAATGTAGTATACAGTCAAGTGATGGATCAAATGTCCTTACTTTTTCCTTAAGAATATAATCAGACATCGTTGGATGGAGAACATCATCAATTAGGCGTAACATGGACCTGCCAAAGGTACATCCCTACCCTGAATGGTCCTAAGATTTTTAGTAACAATTCGTATTGGAAACATCTTTTGTTTGCAGTGGGAGGAGTCTGTAAATGAGAAATATCCTCATATTGTACATGAAGAACTCTGCAAGGCATATGATGACAAGCAAGTTTTCACCAATAATGACATTATAAATGATTCGGAAGGTTTGTAGCTATAATTAATGACGTTTTGACGCATTTCTTCTTTAAAGAATGTTTATATATATATGTGTGTGTGTGTGTTCTCTCAGAGGAACTGGTGACCGGCCTTTCTCGTGTATCTTGGGAAAAAGTGGACGTCAGTTTTCATAATAGCAAACTGAGTTTTGCTGCTCATAGTGTTATTCAGGTATTCATTTTCTTTAGCCAGGCATAAATACACTCATACATACATATATGTATGTATACATGGGCTCTGCATATTATTTAGTCCATTACATAGAAATCATATTTGAGTTGGATGCAGGTCAAAGATAATTACCTGCATACAGATGGTGTAGATGTTATTCAACATATGATAGATCATTTTTGTGTTTAAAAGTCCCATCAACCATTCAATATCAATCCTACTTGGGAAAGAAAACAGAGGTTTTATGAAGGTAAAGAAAACATCATATATTCATATGTGAATATATGATATTTCATTTCCCAGGAAGCTGCAATCCATAAAATTGTTTTCACTTTTCAAGTACTTTATTCATCTATGAATTTGGTGAAGCATTTTAAATGTATTGTTGATTCTAGTTCACCCACAATTGGATCGATGTCCTTATAGAAGATTGTGATTCTTGTTTGTTAAAGTCTCACATCGGTTATACTTCGACCATTTTGTCCAAAAAATGACTCTTTAGAAGATTAATATGGATTTCCATATATTTTTACATATTATCGGAACTAAGGTTTACCACTCTAATAATTCAGCACTCTAGAACTATCTATATATGTCTAGCCTTCGTTGTAAAGGGCGTGTTAAAGTCTCACATTTGCCGGATTGAAGTATTTTCTTTTAATATATGTTGGAACCTTTATTCTCACTGGAGTAAACGTGAAAGATCAATCTGGGGTTCCAAATGCACCATAGTGAACATCCACAGTTCACTTGAATGAAACAAAAATGCCAAAGGTAATCAATGGAGACAATCATGCATGAAACTCCATTATTGCAAAAAAAAATCTCAAAATAATATAGTTTAAAATATATAATTATTGTTGAACATCTAGAATTTATCTAAAGAGTGACGAAATATAATTGACTAGTAAATAAATGGTCTTTGGCCTAACGGTATGTGAGGTTTTAGTTTTTTAGGAGGTCAATGGTCCAAACCTCACCAATATGAAAAGAGTGTGTGAATTTATTTGTCGTATATAAATATTATATACTTTAAAAAAATAAAAAATAAAAATCGACCACTAACCATTTTAAAATAGTTAGCAAGTGAAAGAAAGTAACATGTTATTGGGCGTTTAACTTTTTTATATTTTTTGTTTGAATCTTACAAAGATTTTAGCAACTTTTTAAATGTTACATCCGTTAATGATTTGCTACTAAAACAAGCGTCATAAATCTTTCCAAACTTTTATCGAAACAATTGTTATCTCGATCATTCATGTATTTTTAAAGATTCAATACAAGGCTTTTATAATACAAGATTTGTTGTAGCTTCAAATAAAATGGTTGAATATTCTGAGAATGTAATAAAAAATATTAAGAAAAAGTTTATACGTGAATTATTGGAAACTAGTTGTGTACCCACGCAATGCGGCAGGAGCCATGAATTTTAACGATTTTGAAGTTGCACTGGTTTTATAAGATAAGATTTAACGATGATATATGTTACACTTGGTCTTTATATATTAATACAATTTGAATAAATAAGAGTTATGGTTCCAATTACAGACTATCGATGAAAAAAAATGTATGACAGTTTAAAATCCAATATATTTAAAATCCAACATATTTAAACGACTCCACAAATGTGTTCGATTTACACCAAGAGCAAAGAAGCAAGAAACTTGAGTTTTAAGATAAACACTCAAAACTAATAAAGAAAACTACAAATTTAACAGATCATAAGCCATGAAAAGACAAAAAAAGATGGGTTTTAAAATGAAATTTCTACTGTTTACCCTATTTTTTGTCCAGAAATTCAAAAAAACCCAAGAACATATTAATTCAGAACATATTATACAGTCAATTTGGACAACCTAACCCCAAAATATATAGTATATATATAAATAAATAACTATAAAAATATAAATCGTAAATATTAAAAATATTTTTTCACAGTATATATAATAATATAATTAAGTAAAAAACTATTCAATATTGGACTCGTTTTGAAGGTATTAACGAGACGATTATAATGGTGTAACTTGTTAAAATAAAAATGTATTTTTTAAACATGTTTTAATTGATATACGATTATGTATGTTAATTTGATAAAGATTTAAAATAAAACATTTAAAAGTAAAGAACGTAAAGTAAATTAATTAACTAATTATAGGGGTATAAAGTATAAATTTAAAATTATAACTTTAAAAAAATCGGTTGTAAGAGGGTGAGTGTATGTGATGAGAGGATGGGGTGAAAAAGTGACTAAATGGTAGTATAAAGGGTATCTTGGTCATTTAGAATTTTAAGACTTTTGCTAAATTTGCTTAATAAGATAGTATAGATAATCAATTTAAAAATGCATATATGAATCCATACGAATGATATGTAACATTGGTTAACCACAAGGGTGGTGCCTGATTGGTTTGAGCTTGACTCCAAAGGTCAAAAGTGTCAGGAGGTTCCAGGTTCAAATCCAATGAGGAACAAAAATTCCCTTGTGGCCACGGATACTCAAATGCGGTGACTCCGGGCTACCTGTAAAGCAGGCGATCGTCCTGGGATTAGTCGGCTCGCATAGCGGGTTGGATATTCAGCTTAATAAAAAAACATTTTCTTTATTCCTTTCTTACCTTATTATGATGTTTAGTATTTGTATTTGAACAGACCTCTACAAGATTGAAACACTAAAATTGTTAGTTAATTGACACAGTAGGAAAATGCAGAAAGATTGGCAAATGTCTAAATCTCCTAATGAATACGAGCTTACAAACGTAGAACTCATAAAATAAGAGAAAAACTCTTATAAAATTAGAGATGAAACTCTAAAGGAAATATTGTTAATTGATAACAAGCTACAAAACTACTTTCTCTAAAGGTTTAAGAACGTCCTATTTTAAAGATAGTTATGAAATATATGGTCAGGTTTCGGTGAAAATCGCAAAAAAAAATATATGAAAAACTGAATAACACACTAGCATCGTTTATTTGGACGGTATGCACATGTGCATACAAGTAATTTATAAATAATCCGTCCAGTATGCACATGTGAATAACATGCACCAACCAAGAAACAACTTCAATTACTTGTATTCACATGTACATACCATCTAGATGAATGGTTACCAAAACATTCTTCAGTTTTTCATTTTTCTATGAGTTTTCTCTGAACCTCTCTCTCGTTAACATATCTATAACAGATTCAAACCTATATAATTAAAAAAAAAAAAAACAAAGTGAATTTAATAACAATATCCATCACATTTGACTTATTTAGAGAGTTGGCAGAAATAGAGACCTTCCAAACAAGTTGTCTTCAATCCTCATCCATCATTTGCAGCTGTCTTCTTGTCATCAATGGTTCCATTCCAAGATCATATCCATTTCTTTGTTCCAACTAATTGACTCAACCCATCATCCATCACCATTCCCCCACTTGGGTGTACAACATTTTATGCTTTGTGTACAACCATTTCTTCACACCCACTTGATATAACGGTCCCGCCCCCGGTCCCTTAATTTAAAACGTACGTTGTAATTAATAACCCTGGCTCGTTGTCGAGGTACGTACTAAGTGGCATTTTAGTTATTTCCGAATTCAGGTTCATGAATTTGCTCCAATTATTTGTTTTTTTGTAGTTTAGCAACAAGTGGGATTTACAATGATCGTAAAAACACAAACAGGCAACATTTAGTATTGTGGGGGCTGTTGTTTTTCGAAAGCAAAGTGCCGACTTGTTTCCGTTTTCATTGCGTGTATCTTTTCAACTGCCACCACATGAATATCACCTCCAAAGACACCAATGTGAGGGGTCATTTTTTGGTTCACTTAGTGGCTAAGGCTAGCCTGGGGGAGGGGCGGGATCAAACCCGAAACCTATTTTGTACTTGGGCAAAGTTGTCCCACCTTTTTCTTGCCAACTGAGCTACATGTCGCCAGATGCAAATGCATATCTACTTATTAATATAATTTTCATACGTATCAACATGAAAACATTTTTTTTTGACATTTTCAGTGTATTATTTAACCTTATTTTAATATAAATATACATGAGGACAATGGTATCTGAATGAAATATTGATGGTTTAATAATTGATTTTTTCTGCCATTTGACAGTGTTTGCATTTTACTTGATTTCTACGTCAAATGATTAAAATAGGGTGAAAACAAATAAATCATGATATGAAAACAATATGTTTTCGAAAAAAAACGTTTTAAACATGGTACTTGTAGTAACAACAATAAATACGAAAAACACTTCATAGTATTATCGTATAATGAACTGTAAACTAGATTACAAAAAAGCCATGTCTCCGTGTGGTTACAAATGTCAATTACTCCATGTTTTTGGGGTTGTGGCGTATTGGTTAATTCGTAAAGGTGTAGCGAAAAATCTCATCTACTGGGTTCGAATCCAAATGTTGTTGAAGTCTTTCTGACAATGGAGGTTCACTTACAATGATTCAAAACCATTTATAGTCACTGATGGATTAGTCGGTATGCGTAAGCTGACCTGAAAACCCATAATTACCATAAAAAAACCATTTACTTTAAAATAAGAACCCCACTTGATTTTTTTAGCAAACTATATCAAAATATGTAACAAAGTTTAGTATAATGCAATGAATAATTTCTTCCCTAAACGATGTAACAGCTTAAAAAGAACTACTGATTTTACCTGTTAAATTAGTTTTCAGCCTACATAACTGTAGAAGATGAAATTAAAAACCATGATAATAGAAAACAATAAAATTATGATCCATTTACTGTTTTAAAACAAATTACTATTTCGTCTTTTTTGTATATTGATATCACAAAAATAGTTGTTTATTTCTATGAAATTCCTGGTTTCAGTTATAAAATTAGTTTAAACTACCTTAATCGTCACATTTAATTTCTAGTTATTTAAAGAAAACGGTCTGAAGAGATTGAGCAAATAGGGCCGAATTTAAGAGATAAATAAGGTAATGATTATTTTTCAAAAATAAATCAATTTAATTGTATTTTATGTAATTTAAATTTTCATTTTTAGTCAATTTATAACCTAATTTAACCATAAATGAGGGACTCATACAACCTTATAAAAATAGTACCAATTAATTTCCTATAATATTAAATTTATTGTTGAATATCAAATGAAACTACATAATTTCTACAAGTCTTATTTGTCATAATGTTTCTTTTATGAAAGAAAATATCTCAGAAAATGTAAGGTGGCGTTTGTTTTCTAAGAGGTGCTGAAATCTGAAGTATGATTTCACTATTGATTTTTAAGAGGTGGTGCTGAAGTATGAAATCTGAATCAGTCAGACTGTTTGTTTTTGTAAACTGATAAACGTCTGAAGTCTGAAATCTGAATCAATAGTTTGCTTTTGTAACCAACAAACATATGAATATGTATAATTTTTTATTTTACTTCTG